TTGAAGTATTTTCCACAGTTTGTTGTGATCCACACAGTCAAAGGCTTTAGCATAGTCAGTGAAGAAGAAGTAGATGTTTTTCTGAAATTCCCTTGCTTTCTCTATGACCAATGAATGTTGGCAATTTGATCTCTGCTTCCTCTGCCTTTTCTAGATCCAGCTTGTACATATGGAAGTCTTTGGTTCATGCACTGTTGAAACCCAGCTCGAAGGATTTTTGAGCATAATCTTACTAGCATGCAAAATGAGTGCAATTGGATGGTAGTGTGAACATACTTTGGCACTGCCCTTCTTTGGGACTGGAATAAAAATTCCTTTTCCAGTCCTGTGGTCACTGCTGAGTTTTCCAAATTTGCTGACATATTGAGTGCAGCACTTTAACAGCACTATCTTTTTGGATTTTAAATAGCTCAGCTGAAATTCGTCAGCTCCACTAACTTTGCTCATAGTAACGCTTCCTAAGTCCCACTTGACTTCACTTTCCAGGATGTCTGGCTCTAGGTGAGAGACCACACTATCGTGGTTATCTGGGTCATTAAGATCCTTTTTGTAGAGTTCTTCTGTGTATTGTTGCCACCTCTTCTTAATCTCTTCTGCTTCTGTTAGGCACTTGCTGTTTCTGTCCTTAACATGCTCATCCTTACATGAAATGTTCCTTTGATCTCTCTAGTTTTCTTGAAGAGATCTCTGGTCTTTCCCATTCTATTGTTTTCCTCTATTTCTTTGCATTGTTCATTTAAGGAGGCCTTCTTATCTCTCCTTGACTATTCTCTGGACTTATGCATTCAGTTGCGTATATCTTTCCCTTTCTCCCTTGCTTTTCACTTCTCGTCTCAGATATTTGCAAAGCTTCCTCAGATGGCCATTTTGCCTTCTTGCATTTCTTTTTCTTTGAGATGGCTTTGATTATTGCCTCCTGTACAATGTTAGGAACCTCTGTCCATAGTTCTTCAGACACTCTGTCTACCAGATCTAATCCCTGTGACTCTATTCATCACCTTCACTGTATAATCATAAGTTATTAGACTGAGGTTATACCTGAATAGAATAATTGTTTTCTTCCATTTAATTCTGAATTTTGCAATAAGGAGCTCTAAGTCACAGTCAGCTCCAGGAGTTGTTTTGCTGACTGTATAGTTTCTCCATCTTCGGCTACAAAGAATATAATCAGTCTCATTTCTGTATTGACCATTTGGTGATATCCATGTGTGACATCATGCAAAATGCTGGTCTGGATGAAGCACAAGCTGGGGTCAAGATTGCCGGGAGAAATACCAATAACCTCAGAGACACAGATGACACAACCCTTATGGCATAAAGTGAAGAACTAAAGAGCCTCTTGATGAAAGTGAAAGAGGAGAGTGAAAAAATTGGCTTAAAACTCAACATTCAAAGAACTAAGATCATGGTATCTGGTCCCATCACTTCATGGCAAATAGATGGGGAAACAATGAGAGACTTCATATTTGGGGGCTCCAAAATCACTTCAGATGGTGACTGCAGTCATGAAATTAAAAGACGTTTGCTCCTTGGAAGGAAAGCTATGTCCAACTTAGACAGCATATTAAAAAGCAGAGACATTACTTTGCCAACAAAGGTCCATCTAGTCAAAGCTGTGGTTTTCTCAGTGGTCATGTATGGATGTGAGATTTGGACTATAAAGAATGCTGAGCATTGAAGAATTGATGCTTTTGAACTGTGGTGTTGGAGAAGACTCTTGAGAGTCCCTTGGACTGCAAGGAGATCCAACCAATCCATCCTAAAGGAGATCAGTCCTGGGTGTTCATTGGAAGGACTGATGCTGAAGCTGAAACTCCAATACTTTGGCCACCTGATGCAAAGAACTGACTCATTGGAAAAGACCCTGATGCTGGGAAAGATTGAAGAAAGGAGGAGAATGGGACAACAGAGGATGAGATGGTTGGATGGCATCACTGACTTGATGGACATGAGTTTGAGCAAGCTCTGGGAGTTGGTGATTGATGGGCATGTTGTAGTCCATGGGGTCAAAAAGGGTTGGACATGACTGAGTGACTGAACCGATCTGTCTCTTGTGCTGTTGGAAAAGGGTGTTTGTTATGAACAGTGTCTTCTCTTGACAAAACTTTGTTAGCCTTTGCCCTGCTTCATTTTGCCCTCCAAGGCCAAACTTGCCTGTTACTTCAGGTATGTCTTGACTTCCTACTTTTGCATTCCAGTCCCCTAAGATGAAAAGGGCATCTTTTTCTGGTGTTAGTTCTAGAAGGCCTTGTAGGTCTTCATAGACTGGTCACCTTCAGCTTCTTTGATATCAGTGGTTGGGGCACAGACTTGGATTACTGATGCCCACTCCTGTCCATTTTAGTTCACTACTTCCTAAGATGTCGACATTCACTCTTGCCATCTCCTTTTTAACCACATCCAATTTACCTTGATTCATGGACCTAACATTCCAGGTTCCTATACAATACTGTTCTTTATAGCATCAGACTTTACTTTCATCACCAGACACATCCACACCTGAGTGTCGTTTCTGCTTTGGCTCAGCCACTTCATTCTCTATTAGAAAACTATAGTTATTAGTATTACTAATAGTATTAGTAATTAGAGCTATTAGTAACTGCCCCCTGCTCTTCTCTAGTAGTGTATTGGATACCTTCTGACTTGGGACCCTCATCTTCAGGTGTCATATCTTTTTGCATTTTCATCCGGTTTATGGTATTCTCGCTGTAAGAATGTTGGAGTGGTTTTCCATTCCCTCCTTCACTGGACCATATGTTGTCAGAACTCTTCACTATGACCCGTCTGTCTTGAGTGGCCCTGCATGGCAAGACTCATACTTTGATTTATGGAAGCCCTTTGCCGAGACAAGGCTGTGATCCATGAAGGGGTCTATTTGTAGTAGGAGCTATCAAACCTCATTAGACAATTCACATCCACACAGGGTGAAGACTAGTGCCAGCACCAAGATAAGGGGGACTTTGGGCTAAGGAGAAGGGTTTGGTGCCACCAGCTGGACCGATGTGGGGACAGAACTAACGGAGGGTCACCAGTATCCCACCGTGGGGAAGGAAAGATGCAGCGTCTGAAAGGAGGACCCGATTTTTAAACAGAAAATCCTCTTCTGCTTTCTTATCACAAAAGCTATACATGCTCATTGTAGAAATAATAGATAATACAGATGAACCAAATAATACATACGAACAAACATAATACAACTATGATGTCACCACTTGGAGGTAACTGTTCATTCACTGTTGTAAATCTCTCCAGAGCTTTTACTATAAACACTCGAATTTACACACACACACACACACACACAGCCAAAATTGAATAATTTATTTTTTTGTGATCCTTTTTCTATTTCAATAGTTTTAGAATTATAGCATCTTTTCTAATGTCTTTTACTTCATTATATTGTATGTATGCTACTTCACTTCTAGGATATGGAATTTCTAGAAATGGAATTAGAAATGGAATTGCAGGGTGGGAGGCGTCCGAGCTCAGGCAGATGTAAAGGCTTTGGTATCTTTTGCCAACTTGCCTTCCAGAAATGTGTGTCCATTTATATTCAGCAAGTCTATTTTGAGTGCTCCATAAGCCTTGTTACTGGTAACTCTCGACTCAGCTGTTCACGGGCTTTCAGCCAGATTCCTAGGGAGGAGAGTGTGGAAACCAGAGGATACCAAAAAGCTGTGCCGTCAGTGACTCTGGGTACTTGGGGGCTTGGTGTGGGGTGTACAGTCAGAAAGATCCCCTGGAGAAGGGCATGGCAACCCACTCCAGTATTCTTGCCTGGAGAATCCCATGGACAGAGGAGCCTGGTGGGGAGGGGGGTCACAAAATGTTGCATGTGACTGAAGCAACTTAGCATGCAGGCACAGTGCTAGTGAGAGAGCCCTTCCCATCTCAGCACAGTGGCAGGTGGAGGGGAGCCTGGGCAGGTAGGAGAGGGGTCAAGCGCGCAGTGCAGAAGGGAGCTGCAAGCTCCATCAGGAGCGGCCACATTGGGTCAGCCTCTGGCACTACTTGGAGGGTGTCCAAAGGTGTGCAGAGTGGGAGGTGTGTGCAAGGAACTCTGGGGGATCCCCTGAGAGTGGAGGGAGGGCGGCCCCAGGAGCTCCGAATGGGCTGGGAGGGGCCTGGGACCGAGGGAACCTGAGGTCACTGGGATCATGACCCGGGTTGTTAATTTTATCCCACAGGGTCTCAGGGCCTGGGAAAATTCAGGTTCTGCCTGGGGGGTGAGCACAGGGGGCTGATGGCCTTTGCAAGCTTTTATGCATTAATGGAAGATGCGATTTGATTTTGGTCCTTTGCCCAGGATAAGAGATCCCAGGGGGCATTCTTAAAAGGAAAGCCAAAATGAAAAAGGTTTTATTTCATAAATGTGGAAATTGTATGGCACTCAGTAAAATGTATTGGCAAAGGAAGCTTCTGCCACTTAATATAGTAAATAAAATAGGCTAATTTCTTTTGGGAGAAGAACTCGAATTACAGTTATCATCAGATAAGAACTTTCAACAAGACTCTCTCTAAGGAAGATGAGCAGTTGGCCCCTGATGTAGGGAAAAACAGTGCTCAGTAGAAAAGGACCAGCACCTCCACTGGGTCCAGAAAGACTCTGACCCTTCTTCCTGCATCTCAGGGGTCCTGAGCCCCTGGCCATCTCGGTGAGCTTGCAGGTTGGATACAATCTGTGCATCAGCAGCGTGGTCCTGTTGACCTGAACCCAACCTACCTGAGAAATAATGCTATGCTGCAGATACCAGAGAAGAATGAACACCACTGTCTCTGACTGCCTTGCAATGTAGATCCAGTTGCCAAAGCTGCCTGCAAAAGTCGACTTGGGTACACTTGCCCAAGGCAGACAATAAACTTCCAAGAAAACAAGCAACAAGTGCACGGTTCTTCCCCTGGGGTTGCTTCCTGCCCTCTCTCCAAGTGGCACCAGGCAGAATCTGCCACTTGGTCCTTGCGTTCGTGTAATACATGGTTATGGAGAGACCGGGGTAACTCACCGTCCACCACCGGCTTGGGCTGCGAGCTCTTCAGGCGCAGGGAGGGCCGGAAGCGCGTGCGGTCGTTGAAGCTCCAGCTCTTCTGCACTTTGGTGGGGCTGCCCTCAGCCGTGATGTCCGTGCTGGGGGACCGCCTGTCCCCCAGCGACGCCTGCCTGCTCTTGACGCTCTGGCCCCGAGGGCTGGCCATGCGCACGCGCTCCTTGAAGCTGAGCTTCTGGCTGCGGGCGACAGGGGCGATGTTAGTGCATTTCAGGCAGTGCCGCCCACCCACCTGCATCAATGCGCTGATGTGACTGTACACACGATTGACAGATCGATCACAAATTGCATTACATGAAATGTTTCTAGCAAGTAGGGGCACAGTGATACATTTCCCCTTTTGAAAATTTGAGCTGTCTTTAATCTCTCTGCACTCATCTCCAGTCCATCTCATCCCATGGTTTTGCACACCCTTCCTGGATTCAGCAAAGGCCTGAGATACAGCACAGTGGTTTGTGCACCGTGACACTGGAAAGACCCTAGAACTGGTTTGGTGTTTGCCTTAGAGACAAATTTTAGCTTTAACCTCAACTTTTGAAACTTAAAAAAAGCTATTTTTTAAAAAATTTGGGGTCATATCTCTTTGTAATTTCTAAAATATTTCTACAGGAAAACAGAGATGACAGTTACACATGCACACAGAGTCTGCATGCATTTTATAGTCCAGGCAAGATTATGACTTCCAGATCCATGCAGTCTCAGAGCAGCTGGCAGTACTGCAGACAATATTAGACACACAACACTTAACACCACATTTATTCTTGCTAGACAAAAACCACACAAGGTAAACCAGCTTCAGCTTATAACGAACCGGATGATGGATTAACAGAATGAGAGGTCATGTTCACCAACACAGACTCCTGCTATTAAACAGGTTATTGATTTGCTGTGGCAGCTCCTGGTGAATTATATTTGTTCACATTCAGTTCTCAGATGCCAGCTTGGCCTAAACTGTGGTTGGTTGATAAAGGAAGTGCTAACAAGGCAGTCTCCAGGCCTTCCTGAGTGTGAGTGGGGTGTGAGGTGCCGGGAGGGCAGGCTGGAATCAGAGGCCTGGGTTTGGAGGCCTCTCTTCTAACTTGAAGATAAAAATAGCAATGTACGTGAGGGACTCTTATGGGGATCAGATGAACTGTACAAAGTTCTTGTTCTTATTCATTTATAAAGTACTATATTATTCATTAGAAAGTGAGACTGTGGGGAGAAGAATATTGGGATGTTGGGACTGATATATACACACTACTATATGTACAACAGATAACTAATAAGGACCTGCTATATAGCATAGGGAACTCTACTTAACACTCTGTAATGGTGTATATAGGAAAAGAATCTAAAAAAGAGTGGATACATATATAACTGATTAGCTTTCCTGCACAGCAGAAACTAACAAATGTTTTAAATCACCCCTACTCCAAAAAAAAAAAAAATGAGTGCATTTATATTTTTATGGGGGAAAAAAAGTGATTCCCTTATGGAGCGAGAAGCCCAGGGCTCTCAGGCCTGAAGCAGTGGACTGGATGAATCTGAGGCCCACTGTCCAGATGCAGCCTTTGTGGGACATGGAGACAGCATTCTTATGGACAGGGATTCTCTAAGACCACGTGGAACAGGTTCTTTTGCACTTTCTGCCTTGTCCACTGTTCCCAGCGGCAGCTTGCCAACAGCAAATGTGTTTAGCGGGTCTATGTCTTGTAGCTAACAAGCACAGTAACATTGATTTTTCCATGCCTAGCTGCTTAACAAATGGTGTTCTAAGAAGACACCGTGTTTTCTGTGTGCTTATGTGTAAACACATTGAGCAATGGATTACAGCGGTCAGCAGGTCCTGGTCAGGACACACATGCTGGCTCTGCGGCTGACAGCTCTGTGCGAAGGGCAGACGCAGGCAGGATTGCTGGGGCGCATGCAGAGGGCAGGTAGGGCAGACGGTTCAGGGCTCATTAACACAGTCCCATCAGGCAGGGCTTTCTCTGCAGTTGACAAACGTGTGATCAAATGATGGATTCATTCAACAACAATAACATATAAAACTGCATCTTCTTATGCCCAGGCTACATTCTCCATGTCATCCAAAGCTCACAATGTTTAAACAAATCCTCAGAGGGATGGTGCTCAAAGTGACCACCCTTTTCAAGCTTTTTTTTTTTTTAATAGTAGAAACTACAAACCTCTTTTCAGTTTCGGCCATCTGTTCCGTTACTTAAATGTACAATGATCTGGTTCCGGAACGCACCTATGCACCTCTATTTAGATTAATGAATGGCTTGTCGACAGAGCTGCCATTACAAGTGGTCTCATTATACTTTAATCCATTACCTTTTCTGGAACTAACAGATGTTAATTACTATAGAAGGTTGGGTTTAGTTAATATCAAATTATTACTCAAACTTTCAAGATATCTCTCTTTCCTCTGCCAACTGAACGAATAGGAAACTGATAAAAGCATTATAAAACCAGTAATATGAAATTTAGTTTTTTAAAAATTTCAATTGCTAAAAATGTTTAAAAAATCTAAAATAGGTATCAGCATTAAATCTACCAATGTTATTTGTAATAATAAAAACTTCAAAAAATACTCTTATAAAATATTTAAAAATTGTCCCTACAAAACATTTAATATTGTCTTTAAGAATTAACGGGAAATGGAAATAATATTATTTTCTGAATCTCAGTACTACTTATGGCATGAGAGTTGATATAAATGAGTTCTGGGTACCCTTTCCCCTTTTGTCCTTCTAAAGTATGTGAATATTTGCCACATCTAATGTTAAAATATTCTCTAGAATTATTTTGAAGTGAACGCAACACATTAAACACTAAATTAGAAAAAAAAAAGATGTAATGTTTTCACTCTTTCTTCTGACATAATATGTCTTCTGACATAGTATGACTGTTAAGAATAATATGCTAATCCAGAACTTTTTAGCCAAGCAATATTTTCTTTTCCAAGTCAAAGATCTGTCCTTGTGTTTTCCTACAAAAAGTTTACTTTTATTAATTTTTGTAGTTCATTTCCCATTTGCAAATCAGCAGAGCACCTTGATGAACTTACTATTAAATGGGTTAGGTGACTGCTATTGAAAGCACACATTGATGAAAAAATACTCTTCCCTAGTCCAGTGATGTTATCATTATTTTTCAGCTTTTTTTGCGATATCTATGAACGTGATTTTTGAGAAAGGCTTATGAGACAGTGTTCTTTTAGGAAGGTTGCCAAAGACTACAAGGTTGCCCAAGAAACAACAAGGAGGTCTCTCTTTGGAGAAAGTAACCAAACGGTGACTGTGGACATGGACGGTGTGCAGCCCCTGGTCCCTGGCCACAGGCTATCTTAAGGCAGAAGGCATGTCCGCCCTGCAGGGATTCTTGTGACCAGATGCTCATGTTCCTCAAATGGCCAGCGTGCAATCGGCTCCTGGGGGATCCCTGCCAGGGACTGGGTGGCATCACAGCATCCCCAAGGTAATCCTCTCGGACTCAGAATGTTGTAGTTACCATTACGCTTAATAAGGGCTTCCGCCCTTCACAGGATAAGCCTCCTGCAAATTCTCACCCCTGGCACAATTCGGCAGCGCAGCGCAGCCAGCACAACCCAGTACGTGCACCGCTTAGCATCGTCCACCGCCAGGAGGGGCCGCTCGGACCTGCCTGCTCATCCCCAGGGTGCAGGGGGTCCAAGCAGGCAGCAGGCAGCGGGAGGAATACAAGCGGGCTGGAAACCTCATTCAGTTGTCCTCAGAAGAGTGAGTCTGAGCAGGGCTCAGTGGAGGGCGGGGTGACCTGGTCATGCACCTGAGGTTAGTTGGCATTCTCAGATCGCATGGCAGCAGCCGGGATGCTGGTACCTCTGCCTCCATGAGGTGTGTATTCTGAAGAGCTTCTGCTTATGACTACAGACCTGACTAGGAGTGAGGGGGAGACAGCAGCTCGTTACTAGGCGGTCGCAACCAGGAAAGGGCCCAGGGGCTTGTGGTCTTGAAAAACAAAGCCATTTGGCTTCCTCGTTGTTCATATGCAAGTACATGGACTATTTAAACACCAAGGACAAACTGTAGATTAATTGTGCTGCTCAAAATGGATGCCATGTTCTTAATGGTTAAGTAGAAATAATTAGATTTTGAAACAGGCATTCCAAAGGATGGTAGTCTATGTCTTAGCATCTGCTGCATACAAAAATAAGAATATAAATATTTTAGGGTATAGCAACCCTTGTAATAAGTAACAGTGCAATGCAGTATAAATGATTGAGGAATAAAATATTCTAGAACTATTAAAATCTTTATAGGAATCAATGAAGTAGATAACATTAATTGCTTTGAAATAGGGGGCTTCCCTGATAGCTCAGCTGGTAAAGAATCCACCTTGAAATAAAAAAGTTCTTGGTTTGTATGAAACCTGAAGGTGTAAATATAAGGAATCAATTGTCAGAACACGTTCGAAAAGATAAAAGAAAATATTCTAGGTTGCTAGTTTGTTAGAAAAAGAGCATTTTTCTTATATTAACTCTTACAATGTGCTTTTCAAAGACTATATCCTTTCCTTCGATCAATAAATGCGAACAGAAAAAGAGACTATTTTGAAAAAAACTGTTTTAGCAACAGCCTAACCTTTTGCCAATAAGGACACAAGTTGACTGTGCCGAAAAAAGAAGTCTCATTTTCCTGAGTTTAGTTTAACAACCCATGCAGATCATTCACTGCACACAAAAGAAAGACATATAAATAATGGAAAATAAATGCAGAAGAAATAGAAGTGCACGGTGTTTCCATCAGTGTTGTTGCGTTCTCTCCTGAGAGTCACACTTCTCAGAACCTAATAAAGGCAACTGTGCAGGAACAGTTCGGGCAAAGCACCCCGTGGACCAGAGCACAGGATGTAACGTAATAAGAGTCTCGCTTATGCTTTAACTTTTAAGACACGCATCTTTATAACTGTCTCACAAGCACCTGTTAAAGCAACTTCAGAGAGTCTACTAAGAAGTCTGGCAGGGCTTTCTTAATGCCTCATGAACTGCATAAAGGTGGTTTAACTACAAAGCAGACATACAGTCGCCGAGTGTTGCTTAAGCCGACAGGGTTAGCAGAGGCAGGGAGATATACGGATAATCCCCAAGCCTCTGATGTATGATCTGTCCTTGGAGCAATAAAACCTTAACAGGTAGGAAGAAGTAAGAGCTTTCTTGTACCATGCTGGTAGCTAACTCACAGCCTAGTCAGCTTGGTGGAGGCGGCAGAGAGGAAGGTGAGGATGCTGGATGCGTTTACAGGGACATTCTGTCTTTGCAAAGTGGCCATTTATACCCAAACAGAGAACTGCCCAGCTTATAAAACGAGTGGGAAAAGTTACTCAGTGGGATGATTAATTAGAATAAAATCAGTAGACACCATTCACCACCACACGTGGGATGAGAACTGTTTCAGTGGGAAGATGGAAAGGGAAGAGTAAACAACTGAAGCATGCCCACGAAGCAGCGTTTTTGGCTTCAGAAGAGGAACAGGGCAGGGTCGGCTGAGATGGATGGTGATTCACACCTGACCTGGTACCACGGTCACTCTTGTTCAGCTAAGCTAGATTAGCAAGCTCTCCTGGAGGCTGTATTTTTAAAGAAGCTTTTAGAATTGGTCACCATCTTGGGACTGGGTGCCTTTCCTTAGCCTGAGAGGCTGTGCACGCGTTTTTAGAAACCACAAGCTAACCTCCATGTAGGAAGCCAAGATCTTCTCACAAGAAGGTCCTGAAGCAGGGAACCCAGTTCCCCGGGGGGTGTAGATGAGTGTGTAGGGAGAGGCCTGATCTACTGTCCTGGCCCCGCAATGGGGACAGTGCTGGCTGCTGGGTAGCCTCTCCTACATCTGGGTCCCTCCCAGGTCTTAGCATTTACAAAGAGGTCCCTCGAGGAAGCATTTAGGAGATTCCAGGCTCTGGAGGATAACAGGGCTGGCTGCAGTGTATCCACACTCCCTTGTCTGAATCACAGTGGTACAGCTGAGGCCAAAGCAGTGCTATCAGCTGGTCTGAACGTGGGTCCAGCACTCGCCGGTCGTATTCTGGACCTAGAGCTGCTGCTTCTAAGGGAGAATCACCATCAGCATGCACTTCCTTTGTGCACACTTGCTCGAGGGAGGGCAGATTTGTTACTTCCTGGGCTGGTGCTGCTGATGTTACAACAGCCTGTCTGCTTGTGCCGTGAACACATCACTGCCCTGGGGGTCACAGCAGCGGAAACAAAGGTCACGTTAAAGTGGGACTGCAGCTTATTTCCTGCAGATGACTGGAATGTTAAGGTTTCCTTTTCTTTCTTTTTATATTGCTCCTCTTGACCTCTCGTTGGTCTTTTCTCTCTCTTCACGTAAAGTACGAGAGGTCAGGGGTATTTTATTATGCCACCCAAGAAATGTTTATCGAGCACATTCCCTGTCATAGCTTCACACGTGGTGACATGATGTGTGGACTGGCGAACAGGAAACCCCAGTGTGTGCCGGTGAAGCGTGAAGTGAGACGTGTACCACACAGCAACATATGGTGTGTTCACGGTGGTTTTTGCCAAATGTTCAAAGACTGCAGAGAAGCTAGATGTCTCCATGTGATCCTCTGAGGCAGCAGTGTGGCTCAGTTGAAGTCTGTTTTTTTGTTGCCTAGTCACTAAGTCATGTCCAACTTTTTGTGACCCTATGGACTGTAGCCTGCCTGGCTTCTCTGTCCATGGGGATTCTCCCGGCAAGAATACTGGAGTCGGTTGCCATTTCCTCCTCCAGGGGATCTTCCTGACCCAGGGATCAAACCTACATCTCCTGTGTCTGCTGCTTTGCAGATGGATTCTTTACCGCTGAGACACCAGGGAAGCCCCAAGTGCAAGTCTACAGGGGGTAGGCAATCTTTGACAGACTCAGCCCCAACCATGCAGAATAGATCTTAACACTTTAGGTATATGAACATGGTATATGATGTTTAGGTAAACACAGTATAACGTTTTAGGTATATAAATAACACGAGCATCACGGCATTTAGAATGTTTGATTGTAGTCTGGTCAGTTCATGTTTGGACACTGGGACTGAAGTCTGTGCCCTCTGCCTCAGTGATTTTTGGAGAAGGGCAGTGTCGCTGTCAGCCCAGGGTGGCCCCTCACTCACGGCTGTGCTGAAGCAAAACCACCACAAGATTTACAAATGTCCCCTCTGGAGAACGAAATCCAGACAGGCGACCTGATTTTCAGGTCATGCCTGCCAAAGAGGGTCTCTTCCCTGAGGACTTGGAGACGATAGGGTCTTTTTTTTTCACACTGACTATAAATTGACAGGATCCTCTTTGAGATAACCTGTAAATTGATGGCACTTAAGACAAAGAAAACTTCGAATGTCACCCAAGAGACCAAAACGGCTCACAGTGACTATGATTTATTTTGTTTGACTTGTCTCGAGTAGAATTTCCACCCAGGAGGAGAGTGGGGTTGCGTGGAGTCTACACGAAGCAGGACGTGAGGGGTACAGCTGCTCAACCCAACTTATCCAGCGTCTAAAGCCCAGTTCTTCTCTTTGGGCACAAATACTTCTAAAGTGAAGAGCAACTCTTCGAGCCACTAAAACTTTCTGGAAATACCACCTGGAGCGCACCACTGCCTTCTGCTTTTACTCTGTATCAGCCGCGTGAAAGAAGCGTCTCCCGTGCCAGAACCCATGGGGGCTTCCCCACCCTGACAAGTGGGTGCATCCAATCACATCTACCTCTCGTCATTAGCGAACGTGTCTATGCTGCTGTTTATAATTGCTTTAGGTGTTGATTGAGATAATGCAGAAATGGATGACCCAGAGACTTATCACCTCTAGAGAACTCGCAACTCTGATTTCAGGAGTGAATAAATACATCATGATAAATAGATAATGATCATTTGTATAACAGCACAAAGCTAATGACACAATCCCCAGACCCCTGATGGCTCCCCACTCAGAGGCCAGCCCAGGGCAGGGGGGTGCCTGTGTTTCTTCTTTACTGGGATGGGTGGTCATGACCGGAAAAGCGTTGCATCCCGCATGGGAAGGAATCCCAGGGTCTGGGACTTCCAGCTGGCTCTCCTCTGTCCCTCCTCACTCCATCTGGGCTGGGATCCATGTGCCTATCTCCATCTGAGTTCTGGGTTCTGTTCTCAAGGATCTTCTGATCTCAAGGATCTGCCAGATCCTTCTTGGCAGTCGTGAACCCAGGTTAAAACGTGCTCTTTCCTCTGGGCCTAGCTTCCTGCTACTTAATCTGATAAAGCATTTCCTTCTAAGGCACAGAAGAATGACCGTACAGTGAGCTTCATTTGGTGACGTGTTCGGGAGGATTATCTTCTTCCTAACTAAAGGATTAGGGCGCCTGAGTTCTGAACGAGCTGGAGACGTCGCATAGAGCGTGTCCTTACCTCCTGAACACACTGTTCCTTCCCACCCCCTGCCCCAAACCATGCAATTTCTCACTCTAAAAGAAGGAGCCTGGTGAAGGGAGTGGATCTTATCCTGCTTCATGGGATCTGAATACTCAGTCAGACTCTGGGAAAATAGCAGCAAGGAACAACCATAGACCATAATTATAATTTTTCCCCAGAATGTCCCATGCTCTGCAGATTGTAAAAAGCATTGAGTGACTTAGGGAAAGACACTCCCAAGAGGGTGGAAAATCAATACAACAGCAACTTTTGCAGGCAATCTTGTGAAAGGTCAGTTTTAATCACCTTGCATTTGTTGATCGATTTTTCTCACATGAGACACATTTAAAACATAGGTGAGGGACCAGATTTACCAACAAACATGTAGCAGAACAGAAATTACAAACCTGCTTGAAGCTTCCCCTTGCTCTTTCCTTCAGGTGCGTGCAGACAGAAGAAAAATGATGATACATGGTGAACACATTTACAGCACTTGATAATGACCAAACTGGGGAATCAAGTACCTTGATTAATCCTTTCTTTTCAAGCAAGAGCCATAGAAGCAAAACACTTCATCATAAATGTACCCAGATTTCTAACTTGTGTTTCCTTGTGACACAGACCCGAGATACTGCCCACATGTGACCGAAAGCTATAGAGTCTTCATCAGCCAAAGTCATCCAGGGTTTAGGAAAAAGTGGTTCTGATCTAATCAGCCTCAGTAGAGACTCTTAGAACTGCTGTGCTGGTTACACTGAAGCTGGGGTCCCTGTGGTTCAGGCAGCCTTTGGGGCTATTTAATCTGCTTTAGTTCATGTGTACTATGGTTTTGTATGTTAATAACTTGTTGAGGTAGATTTGTTTGTTTGTTTTTTTAATATGAATTCCTTGCAGGAAATTAAGCATATAGACAACCTAGCTTAGTGTTGGGTGGTCTAATAAACCGTTTTAGCAAATTCGGGTCTACCCAACATGGTGTAGGGTCCCTACTCTTTGTAAATGAGCTGTGTGTCCTTGGGCACATGGTTCACTTTCTTGTGGGTCTCAATCTTCTTATGACTAAATGGAAGGCCCTGAAGTTGAAAATCTCTAAATTCTAACTCCTTAAGGTGCCACGTGGCCCTGGGGCGCTTGATGATCCACACAGCTTCATAAACTATCTGACTCATTTCCCCAAATAGCAGTTACCTGAGCTTCACCCTCTGCACAGCCTTCACTCTCTTTGAGATGAAAATCAAGAAAAGTGTTCCTTCCCTAAATCCTTCTGTCATTAAAACAAAACTTTGCAACTACTAAGACCTCAAAAGTGCATGCGTCAGACGAACCGGATCAGAAAGAAGAGTGTGCAGAAGGCCTGAGAAGCATCTCTGCCCCTGCCCCCTCACAGCTGTTCCATCATCCTTCTCCCTGGGATAACAATGAGAGGTCAAGGCAGCCCATGGTGTCTCTCACTGGGAGGACAAGATCTCGGGCTTCGGTCTTTACTGATAACAAAGCCATTGTTGCTGCTCCTGCTGTTGATAATATACTCTCTCCCCTGACCAGCTATTTAAAATCATAGCCCCTACTGCCCCCCCAATGCCTCTCCTACTTTACTTTCCTCTTTAGCTCTTAGCATCATCTACTCTATTACATATTTTGCTTATTTATTTTTGCTGTCTCTTCCCAGTATCTCTTGCATTTAGACTCGCTGAGCTCAGCCTGAGATTCTCCTGGTTTTCCTCCTCCACCGTTGCTGCATTCCCTATGCCCAGAGCAGCACTGTGACCCAGCAGGTGCTGTAGGGGAGCAGAACGTGGTACCCCCAAATCTGGCACCCCAACGTGCCTCTGGCATGAGCATACATTCAGGCTGATTATTATTTTCTTTATTTGTAATTGAAGGATAATGACAGTATTGTATTGGTTTCTGCCATAGATCAGCACGGATCAGCCACAGGGATACATATATCCCCTCCATCTTGAGCCTCAGGCTGATTATTTTTTTTAAGAAATGGAAGTCTTAGGAAGTTTTTCTTGTTATCTCTCCCTAACTTGACCTAAAAGAATTTAGATAAAGGGCCTGTTTCCCCAGAATAGGGCTGTCGCCAGAGGGGTCTGTGAGGACGATGGGCCGGGTGTGGTGGGACGCTCGGCAGGGCCTGAGGGTGACAGTGTCTCCATCAGAGTCCTGTCCACGTCCTGTCTTCTCTGCCAGTCCCACCAGCACTCCTTTACCAAGCAGCTGCTTCCCTGTCTCCAGGTCACTGCCTTCCTCCCAAACCAGACCCAGCATCCTCCTTTGTCTTCAGCTGAAGGTGGTGTTCAAGGAGAGGGTTTGGGCACTTTTGTCGAGTCACTCAGTTCTCCTGGGCCCCTCTCATGTGAACATATTGCTAAACTCTTGATTTTCTCCTGTTAATCTGTCTCATGTCAACTTAATTCTTAGACCATCTGGAAGGACCTAGAAAGGCAGAGGGAAACCCCTTCCTCCCTGACTGTGCTCATGTCTGCAGGAACCCACGAATGGGTGAATGGACTTTCCCTTCAGAGATTCTTAACCTGAAACACTCTAGGAAATTCCTGATGTGAGTAAGAAGTTTTGATCTGTTTCTTACTATATCACTCTGCAGTCAGTAAGCCAGTTAGTTACAAATGTAAAATTATCCCTCTAAGTCATTGTAAATTAGCCTCCTGACAAACCTACACATTTGATTAAAGTAGGATTGTTTCTAAAGCAAAGGTTCTGAACCTGTCTTCAGGGAGTTTGTAAATACATTAAAATTGAAGGCAAAATTTTGATTGTTAGGTGTTGAATATTTTCCTTGAGAAAGAGTCCATAATTAACCATCATGTTTTCAGTGGTTTAACAAAAAATGACAATAACAGCAAGGATTAAGAACCATGCCGTTTGGGACGATAAACTATGAACTGAAGCTAGAGGAGCTTTGCAGTGGCTATTGTTCTCCTGGGCACACACCTGCCATTCATAAATAAGGCTGGACCCAGAGGCTCCAGGGCTCAGGGAGACGAGGGGAGGGGAGGTGCTGATGGCCACAGTGGGCAGGATGAAGGCAGGTATGTGCACAAAGTTCTCCACTCCCACTAAAAACAGGGAACATGCCAGAAAAAAAGAAGTCATGGGAGTAAAACAACAGTTTATGCACTGCAAGAATTTGACTCATTATTGAATAGTTTTTCCAGGTTTCAGGATGGCTTTGAAACCAAAAACGGCAGGCAGTGGGAAGCCAAATAATCACACATAATAAAATAATAGCCCACACTCTCCTGTCACTCGAGAGTCTTCTTTTGTTTTTTTTTTTCCCACTAGCCTACCTCTTACATGTTCCCCAGCAACCTTCCTAGAGATGAGACATACACTTTCTATACAATTCCCGTTTTTGATTCATATATACCCAAGGAACAGATGGCACACCAGTTATATTCCTTTTTTGTTTTAAAATACTAAAACTTTGAAAGAATCTAATACTGAATAAGGGGAATTTCACTGAATTTTGAGATCTGAATGAAAAGTGGATTCTATGCCTGCTGAGACTGCGCCCCCTCCAGCATCCTGGGTCAGTGTATCTCCGTCACCGGTGTAGGCAGAGGTGTGACCCTGACCTTCCCCGTAGGGTCAGAGGTGACCTTGGCCAGCTCTCATCATATACGTATGGATGTGAACCCCAGGCTCAGGGCAGGGCAGGAAAGCATTATAACAGATCCCATGAGTTAACAACGGTCCCACAGATCTCCTGGGAGACAGTGGCTCCAGGGAACAAGCCGTGAGGGCTTCCCCAGCTGATTCTCCTGCACTCTGCTAAGAAGAGTTTTCTCGGACCATCACAGTCATCAGCTGCCTTCAATCCCATGAGGCCCCTGGGATTAAGGCTTTAATGGGCCCTGAAAGGACAAAGCAGGTGCTCAAATGCACTCTGAACAATCCGGGGACTGACCACTAGTCCAGCGGGTGACTCACAGCGAGCCCGTCTCTGACTTACCGGCTTTGCTAGTTTCACTGAGGATTTCTTTAATTAGATGGTGATTATGGTTTTGTGTGTCAGCTGAACCAGAGTCCAGGCTTCCGGGACTAGGGACTGTTTGGGAATTAAAGATGCTGTGGCAGCCCTCAGTATGTGTAGCATCTTCCCAGCCCCCTCCCTTCCAAACATAGAGGCGTTGCAACTCCCCAATCTGAGCTGAAGCATAGCCAGGTGACCTATTTGGTGGATATCGTGTGAATGGAAGTAACATCTCTTTAAATTTTGAACACTAATCCCAAATTGTACTGGAGTGCTGCCTTCACCTCACTGTGCCCACCTCTTCTCGTGTTTTGCTATTGATGTCTGTTTGATCTGCAAGTGAAGCTCAACGCCTGTCCCGTGAGGCATCCCTCGAGGAGAAATGACCTTGAGGGGCTTAAATGTGCAGACACAATGCTTCCCAAACAGCCTTTGGTTGGTCAGATGATGGGGGCCGTTTTAAGAGTCACTGGTTTTCCAGAACCACAGCACTTACTATAGGAATTCTCGTGGGCTTTATGAAATGAGATGTTAGAAAATAAGCATGAAACAGTACAAATAAATCTTTATAAAGTTTAGATTCTTTTCATCTTTAAGCCCAATCTGTGGATGGTGAGCCATGATACTGAGTACACTCACTTTCACATCTGAGTTGTTACCAAACAGGTTTGAATCTCAAAAAACAACAGAGCATAAGACAATCCTCGAATCGGCACGTGTATGTGTGTAGTTGTGGCTCTGTGTGTGGTTGTGGCTCTGTGTGTGGTTGTGGGTGTGGCTTGTTTTACAAACTTAAGGAGACTCAGCTACAGCGCCGACTGTCACACTGACACCTACTTGGTGGGGCTGCAGGTGTGCAAGGCCTTCAGGTGCGGCTTCCAAGTTGCAACGGAGACAGATTTCTCATCAGCTGCGTAACTACGCCAAACGCACTGCACCCGGCACGTGGGGACATAAGAAAGAAAAACAAAACAGAGAAGGAGAGAGAATGCAATGAGGAGGAGATAAGCAAATTCATACAGATGAAGCATCTTTTCCTTGTCATGTTCAGCCCCGATAAACAGCTGAGTTGAAGAAGACTCTGGCATTTTCGGCTAACTGTCATACATACTCCATCACATCTGAAGAACTGCTTTTCAAAATAACACATATCAAAAGTAAAAGCACTGCAAAGCCTAACACAGGAGTTTTGGGACTGGTTAGGGGGAGACATGAGAGGTGACTATGCCTCCTGGGAGCACATACTTCATCAACACTTGTGAGAGAAAGGAAATCCATAGTGCAATTAGTAAATTAATTAGTAAGCTAGCTGGTTAACTGATGACCACCAGGGCATGTTAGTGATATACTGAAATCCCTTGAGGTTGAACCACACAGTACTTCTAATGCTAACAATGAAGGCACTTTTAAACAAGGTAGGGCAATGTATTCTCTGGAATATGACCAGAAAGCACACAAGGATTTAACGTTGGCATCTAAGAACACGCTCATAGCTCTTTGACGTAAAACACAGGCTTGGTCTACTTCTCATAATTACACCCCATACATGTGATACAAAGTATTTTCATGTAACTCTCACAAATTGGAGTCTGGGTTAAGACCCTTATTTTGTAAATGAGAAAACAAAGGCTCAGATAAATTAAGAAGTTAACACAAGGTTGGCAGAGGTGAGACATCATCTTAGGTTGCCTGGCTCTTGTTCTTAGCATCTCTCCCTGGTCCTTGCTGCCTGCTTGGTGACTGCTGTTGGAAGCTTCCCTCTGAACTGTCTATCAGAGAGATTGCCTGAACTTACTTTCCACAGAGATTTTGGTGAATTTCTTCCTTTGCAATAAGTCTGCAAACATCTCTAGGGACCAAGTGTTTACTCTACTCTCCTGAGAGGAAATTTTTAAAGTCATAAATCAAAACATTCTATTTTGTGTGTCAAATTCATATAAACAGGTCACAATCCTTCTGCCTGACCCTCATTCATGATTTTGAAACCTACGATGAAGAAAACAGTGATCTAATAATATTCCTTTCCATGAGATGATCATTGAATAAATGTGTGCAGAAAAAAGACTTAAAGTTGATATAACTAATTTGGAAAGCTTTGGCCATATTTATTAAAGCTGAAGTATAAATACCTTATAGTACAGCTACTCACTCTTACATCTATATTTAACAGATTTGCTTATAAGTTCATCAAAAGAGGTATACTATAATGTTGAAAACAGCACTATTTATTTTTGACCTTAATATTAATTTTCCTGTTTATTTATTTATTGAAGTAAATGGCAAATAGATGGGGAAACACTGGAAACAGTGGCTGACTTTATTTTTTGGGGGCTCCAAAATCACTGCAGATGGTGACTGCAGCCATGAAATTAAAAGATGTTTACTCCTTGGAAGCAAAGTTATGACCAACCTAGACAGCATATTAAAAAGCAGAGACATTACTTTGTCAACAAAGGTCTGTCAAGTCAAGGCTATGGTTTTTCCAGTAGGCATGTATGGATGTGAGAGTTGGACTATAAAGAAAGCTGAGTGCAGAAGAATTGATGCTTTTGAACTGTGGTGTTGGAGAAGACTCTTGAGAGTCCCTTGGACTGCAAGGAGATCCAACCAGCCCATTCTAAAGGCGACTAAAGGCGATCAGTCCTGGGTGTTCATTGGAAGGACTGATGCTGAAGCTGAAACTCCAATGCTTTGGCCACCTGATTCGAAGAGCTGACTCATTGGTAAAGACCCTGATGCTGGGAGGGATTGGGGGCAGGAGGAGAAGGGGACGACAGAGGATGAGATGGCTGGATGGCATCACTGACTCGATGCACATGAGTTTGAGTAAGCTCCGGGAGTTGGTGATGGACAGGGAGGCCTGGCGTGCTGCGATTCATGGGGTCGCAAAGAGTTGGACACGACTGAGCCACTGGACTGAACTGAACTGAAGTTGGTGCACAATATACAGGCATACAATATAGTGATTCACAATTTTTAAAGGTTTATATTTCATTTATAGTTATAACATATTGGCTTGGAGTTCCCTGGTGGCACAGTGGATAGGAATCTGCCTGCCGATGCAGAGGACATCCCTGGTTAGATCCCTGGTCCAGGAAGATTCCATGGAGCAACTAAGCCACGTGCCACAGCTTCTGAGCCTGTACTTTAGAATCCGTGAGCTGTAACTACAGAGCCTTTGTGCTGCAACTAGTGAAGTCCAGATGGCCAGAGCCTGTGCTCTGCAACAAGAGAAGCCCCCAGCAATGAGAAGCCACACGCCGCAGCAAGGAGTATCCCCTGCTCGCTCAGACTGTACAAAGTTGGCACAAAGCAGCGAGGACCCAGCGAAGCCCAAAGTGAATGAGTAAACAAATAAATACAATTACAAAAAAATCAACTATTGGCTGTATTCCCATGTTACACAACGCAGCCTTGTAGCCTATTTATTTTATACATAATAGTTTGTACCTCCTAATCCCCTATCCTTATCTTGCCCCTCCCCTCTCCACTGGTAGCCACTATTAATAGGCTGTTCTCTCTACCTGTGAGTCTAACCAGCTCTAGCCCTTTTAAAAAAACTGAAGTAGAGTTGATGTACACCATTGTGTTAGGTATCACAAAGTAATTCTGTTATACACATATCTAGTTATTTTCAGATTCTTTTCTCATACAGGTTATTACAGAGTATTGTGTGTAGTTTCTTGTGCTATACAGTAGGTCTTTATTCATCTATTTTATATATAGTATTGTGCATATGTTAATCCTAAACTCTAAATTTATCCCTGCCCTGCACCTTTCCCCTTTGGTAATCATAGATTTGTTTTCATCTATTTTATATATAGTATTGTGCATATGTTAATCCTAAACTCTAAATTTATCCCTGCCCTGCACCTTTCCCCTTTGGTAATCATAGATTTGTTTTCTATGTCTAAACAGTGCATGTGGATGCTAAGTCGCTTTAGTTGTGTCCAACTCTTTGTGACTCTATGGACTGTAGCAGACTAGGCTCCTCTGTCCACAGGATTCTCCAGGCAACAATACTGGAGTTGCCATGCCCTTCTCCAGGGGATCTTCTGGACCCAGGAATAGAACCTGCATCTCTTATGTGTCCTGCATTGTCAGGTGGGTTGTTTACCACTGGCGCCACCTGGGAAGCCTTCCTAATAAACCAAAGTCAGGAATGTTTAAGCAGCTGTCAGGACGAGAAGCAGGTGGGCTGTGGCATGCTAACACAGTGGGGCATCACATAGGAACCGTCCACTATAACTATGCCCAACAATGTGGATGAACTTTCCATGAGCGCTGTCGAGAGAAACAAGACACAGAAGAGGACACATTTCATGATTCTCCTTCCCCACAGCACAAGGCAGGGGGGCTGGTCCTTGCTGTGAGCAGGCAGTGCAGGCTCCCCTGGGGGAGGGGGGACCCTGGGACCCTGGGGTGCTGGCCTGGGCTGCTCTTCCGCCGGTTCCTGCAGGCATGCAGCGCAGCCTTCTAGGAGCTGTGCTGCATCCCTCAAGCACCTTATACTTCAATAGGATGTTCCAGAGTGATATAAAAAAGTGGGGAAATAGATAGTAGGACCTGAGGGTTTTTATGTTATTGAGGAAGGCTTAAATAAGTGATGCCGCTTCCTTGCCCAGAGCCTTCCTCACACAGCTCATGTTGATATAACCTACAAATCTCTCAAGACTTATGCTACGCATTTTGGCATCTTATAGAGAACAAAGAAATTATTATATCATCTTGAAACATTAATTTTGGCAAATACTGTACAAACACAATCTACAAGTGATATTGAGTAATCAGTAAAGACACATGGTTTTATTATCGTAGCTGAAGAATTGATGCTTTACAACTGTGATGCTAGAGAAGACTCTTGAGAGTCCCTTGGACTGCAAGGAGATCAAGCTCATCAATCCTCAAGGAAATCAACCCGTGGAAGGACTGATGCTGAAGCTGAAGCTCCAATATTTTGGCCACCTGATAGGAAGAGCCAAATCATTGGAAAAGACCCCGATGCTGGAAAAGATTTGAGGCAGGAGAAGGGGGTGACAGAGAATGAGATGGTTGGATGGCATCACCGACTTGATGGACATGAATTTGAGCACATTCTGGGAGCTAGTGAAGGGAAGGCTGGTGTGCTGCAGTCCATGGGGTCACAAAGAGCTGGATACGATTGAGCGAGTGAACAACAGCTTCTACAGTGAAGGCCAGAGGGCCCATCCCCACCCACGTGGCTTATAAGACAACTTTCATGGAAGGAGTCGGATGTATGTGAACTCAGATACTTTGGAAGCAGGACTCACGTAGAAGTAAGAAGTACACAGAAGGTCTGAGCATTATTAGATAAAAGTGAAAAAAAAATCTGAAATAACAGCACAACAACAACAATAAAAAATGGGACAAGACATTACCTGCCAATGTTATAAAGAACTAGGGGCAAAAGAGGCCACTCTAAGAAAATTGATCATTTTCTTAACAATGAGATCTGGCTTCTTACTCTTTTTCTATCAGAGTTATCTCAACAGCTAAGCTCTATTCCCTCCATTACGCTTCTCCTAAAAATACCTTGAAAATGGGAGAGCAGAGAAGCCAGTGGCCCCTGCCTCAGGGCTGATGCTAGTTAGCAGTCAAAGTGGCAGGGAGCAAGTCTATTATTCTCACCCTCCAATACCTCTGTCCTGTCCTCAGCTCTTCCTCAGCTAATCTCTTCTTGAAGCTGAACCCAAGGCCACAGCCCTGTGATCCAGGAGTCAGTGCTCCTCTCTTCAAGGCTAAAATGACACTGTGCTTAGCAAGAAATTGCCCTGGGGGACTTAATTTATAAGGCACATGCACTCCCAAGGATGAGTCAGCAAGAAGCAAAATGAAAGCCAGGTTCACCATTCACCGTGCAACCTGGTGCTCGAGGCAGCCAAACAAGTTCAAACTCTGGCCTCTAATGACA